GAAGTCGCGCTTTTGAGACATGGAAAACTCAAGTTGAATTCCGAAAATCGCTCCAATAGAACATACGTAAGATATAAAACTATTCACCTCCCCCCTACAGACACTTTTGTGTGTGTGTGTGTATGTGTGCAAAATGTACATCTCCCGTAAGCTGGCATACATCAAAGCGAAAACCAGTTTTGTACCACATGTGTTAGTATATATTTCAAGAGCCTTGAAATGTCCTGCGGCACCAATTCTCAAAGTTTTTATAATATAATGGGTCATTATATTATAAAAACTTTGGCACGGTAAAATAAAATGTTGTTAATATTCCCATGATCAGCCGAAAGTGACATGCCATTCAAAGGCCAATATTTGGCCAACTATTCTATATATCAAATTATTTTGTTGGAAATAATTAATTTAGCAGATTTTTACATTGATTATTATTGTTCCATTCATTGTTTTAAGAATTTAATAATGTAAAAATTTCATTGAATTAGTTAAGTTTCGTTAATTCTTTTACGCCTGTAAAATTAATTACGTATAGTAACTAATTCTATTAATCATGTTGTAAATATTGTTTTAATTAAGTTAGGCATTTTTCTAAGTTATTGATGTTCGATAATTAAATTTAATAACAGTAAATTTAGTTTTACTAAATTTTTTACTTGATTTATTCTGGAAGAAGGCTTTGTGCTAAGGTCTAGACCTGAATAAAAAGCTTCAAAATACCACGAAAAAGCTGCATAGTTCAACTTTTATTTGGTTTCATACTGTACTGTGTGTTCTCATACTGTGTGTTCTTCACATGTAAATATTTTCGCAACAGCTTCAATTCGTAAGAAAATAAATAAATAAACAACAATAATAATAGGTAGCTTAAAAAAAAAAAAAAAAATACTAGCCTGAAGGTAGCTCAAAAGGGCTTGTTTAGGTTTTTTATGCTCTCGCTGTAATCGTAAGCTGTTGCATTCACATCTGGTAGCCCCGCTTTTTTGTCTTTTTAGCTTTATTGTTTTAGCCTTATCATAAGCAAAAATGAACAATTTACCAACACATAAGAATAAAAGAAAGAGCTCATCGAGCCGGGTAACAGGGGGGTGTATACATATAACACACACGTTTGGCGCGGCTGATTGCAATACATAAAGGGAAGAGCACAGCTAGGTGATATAGCAGTCTCAATACAAAATTTCAATGCTCTGCGGTAAATTGTTTTTGAGTTATGGCAGATGCGTATGTACATACAGACATCAAGGAAAAAAATCCCTTTTGAATCTACACTCATGTCCATAAATTAAGGATAATTCGGAGTCACGCGGAAATCGAACTCTAAAATAAATATATCACCTGTAAAATCACTATACACATCTTCAAGAATCACATGCAAATTTCAGGAAGTAACCATGTGACACCGATGGTACGTCACAATGACGAGAGTGTAAGAGAGTGATATATAAGGAATACAGGCAAAGAAGTAAAATTGTTCGCAGGCGCTTTATAAGCATTTCAGTGCAATAACCGAAAAGTTATGACACAAAGGACGCATTTGGATGATTTTTCACGTGGTAGAATTATCGGCCGTCTGGAATGTGGACGTACCCAACTGAAAGTATCAGACCAATTTGGAATTGCCCAGAGTGTCATCTCCAGGCTTTGGCAACGATTCCAAGATGATGGTAATGTGAGTAGACGTTACAGCACAGGTCGCCCCAGAGTTACAACGCCGAATGAGGACCGGTATTTGGCAGTTACTGCCAAAAGAAACAGCCGGAGCACAGCCTCAGACCTGTCTCGTCAGCTCTCTTCAGCCACTGGTACGACAATTTCAAGGCAGACCGTGTACAGACGCTTAGGGCAGATTGGTCTATATGCTCGTAGACCTGTCAGATGCGTTCCACTTACTGCAACTCACTCACTGTCGCCTGCGGTTAGCCTGGAGTAGAGAGCATGCATTGTGGACACCGCAACAGTGGGCTTGTGTGATGTTTTCCGTCGAGTCCAGGTTTAGCTTGCAGTCTGATTCTCGCCGGACTTTCATATGGAGAGCTCCAGGTATCCGTTACCACCAAGAAAACATCATTGAACGACACCGTTACGGTGGTGCAGGAGTGCTCGTTTGGGGTGGAATTATTCTGGGTTCCAGAACTGACCTGCATGTTCAAATTGGAACCATGACAAGCCAAATCTATCGGGACGTCATTCTGGAACAACATGTACGTTTGTTTCGGGGCGCCATGGGCGCACAATTTGTGTTTATGGATGACAACGCCCGTCCTCACCGTGCAAACATCGTAAGCGAATGCCTTCAATCGGAGGATATCACCCGTATGGACTGGCCAGCATTCTCACCGGACTTGAATCCAGTAGAGCACGTGTGGGACATGCTTGGCCGACGAGTTGCAGCCCGTCAACCTCCTCCTACATGTCTACCGGAACTTCGGAGAGCATTGCTTTTTGAGTGGTGTAATATCCCCCAAGATCAGATCGATAATTTGATACTCAGCATGCCTAGGCGTTGTACGGACTGTATTGCATCGTCTGGGAGACATACAATGTATTAACAATCATACCAACCATGTAATATTGGTTTTTTGTAAATAGGTTTTTTTTTTTTTGTAATTTGCTCCAGGGAGAAAAAAATCGCTAATTTTTTTAATAATATCAAACATATAGCATCTTTTTTTTTGCTCTTTACCTTTTGTTTAATAAATAAGCTTTACAAATAAGTCAAATTTGTTTTGCTTCTAACTCTTCCTTTGCCTGATTTTGCATTATCCTTAATTTATGGACATGAGTGTATTTTAGGTCCCTTTTACAATCCATTTCAGAAAAATAGTCCTTTATTCTGTCCGTACGTACAAATGTCACGCAAAAATAATCTTTAATATGGATTCGAGAACGGCCAAAATGGGTATTTTCGATTAAATATGCAACTCAAAAGTTTTCGTGATTAGCATACTTCCTTTACTTGGCACAAGGAAGTAAAAAAAAAAAACCCGAAAATGTCAACGTGGAAAAATGCTATTTATGTTTCATTCAAATCAGAAGGTTTGGCCTGGAGTTATAAAAGATCACTGATTTGTAACATTTGAAGAGTAAATGTCAGAACATTTGCTGCAAACAGAGTATTAAAGAGGAGTTATGAAGTGTTTGGTCTCTTGAAAATAAAACTCAAGCCATATCATTACAACCCATGTCTTAACTGTAGAAGAATTTAAAAGCACCAAATTTTACTTAGGTGTTCCCATGAAAGGTAATTTAAACTGATAAATTTTCTTATTAAAATGAATTATTTAAAGTCCTAAAGCGATTTCTAAAGCACCATAAAATATTTCTTACAGCGGAACTAATCAACTGTAAATTTTTCGTTTATTATTATATTTATATAATTTAAAGCACTGCGTCTCGAACAGTCCATACAATAACCAACACAGTATTATGTAATTATGGCGTCAAATTATCCTGCCTGTTCTATTGTTATCGATTTTTGCACTGAATCTCGATTGACATTCTTTTATCGGTATACGGATTGTCTCTTCCTTTTCCTTCAGAACTGAAGGAACTTTTCTGTTTCAGACATATTGGCTTAAGCAGTGTGCACTCGAACGTTTTCCATTCTTGCTTCCCGTTGCTCGTCTGTTTCAGACGAACGAGCTTAAGCAGTGTGTACTCGAACGTTTTCCAGTCTTGTTCTCATTGCTCGTCTTCTTCAGTCGAATGGGCTTCAGCAGTGCGGGTTCAAACGTTTTCCAATCTTGCTTCCCGTTGGTCGTTTGTTTCTGAAGTTCGTTGCCTTTTTCTTTCGTGCTTGCGGTGTAGATCGAGCAGTCGATTTTCGTTGTGAAGGCATAATTGATTTCACAGTGAAAGTAATGCTTTGTGATGACTATTACAAATTCACTTTCAAAAAGCAACGAAAGTGCGTGTGCTGCAATACACGTCAAGAACTAAATATTTTACATTTTGCTGAACGTTAATACACTTTAAAATATTTTAATTTGGGTACTGGCAACACATTTATTTTAAAAAGCCAAGGTTATTTATTAAATTCGGGTCAAATTAATATAATTGCGTTTCCCCGAGTAGCAAAACATTTTTTTTTTATATCGTGGAGTTTTCGGATTAAATTTGAAACTCATATATCTTACACTTTACACAGCGTCAACGCAAAGCTTTTAAATTGCTGAGTTTTTAATCAAACGTTTCTTGAATTATCGTAAAATGTATGTACATACATAAATAGTGCGGACCCCATGGGCTGATTTTTGAGAAATCTTATATAGACGGTGACCTTCCTCTTGTTTTGAAGGTCGAATGTGACAAGTTTTATGAGATCGGAATTAAACTGCGGATTTATATAAAAGAAAAATAAACAAACAGACATTCAGTTATATATATTGTATATGTGCTTAATATAAGTAATCGGGAATAATTTCATGTGTTAATAATTTCGCTATGAAGTGTCATTAAAATTACAGTAATATATTTTATTTTTTTTTAATAAAAATTTTATTGATGCTCGCATATTAAAATGTTACCAGAATCTAAGATTACCAAACTCACAGCTTTAATATTGATCACAGTTTTGCCTTTTCTAATAATATTTGTCGCCAGCTGTATCAAAATCAAAGACAGCAACTTTCGTCACCTTCAGAGCGTTAAGTTGAAGCTATTTCCAATGATTAAGACGCATTCCATTCTGTCATATTTCATCGTTGTTAAAAGGAGGACAATGATTCATCCCTGTACGATCTTGCTTTAAATCTTGCTTCATCCCAGCCTCAGGCATAAGAAAGTGTCTTTAGATTATGACGGTAAAAAATAAGATTGTATTTCTAACTAATTAAAGAGATAAAACTTTATAAAAGAAAGAATGAAATAATAAGAATAGTTTTTCACGATAATTTACCTCCGCTCCAACAGATGGCTCTTTATAAATCTTGAATGCTAAAGTTAGTTCGTCGGATGTTTCTTACTTCCTTACCCCGTGACTTAAGGGGACAGCTATTGGATTCTTTCCAAGTTGGTTAGTAGAAATGTCAACGTCGTAATTGCAATTCGTACATTCATTGTAGAATATTTTGTGCCACTGCCAGACGATATCAGACCGTCGTACGTATATGCAGTGAAGTAAACAAGTGTATCGCGCGATTCTCGATCACAGAAATAAGTGAGAACTCTTTCGAGATCCTTTTCTAGCAGGTAAGAATGCTTCCTTTCTTTTTTTTTTCTTTTTTTTTTTTTTTTTCTTAGCAGATTTTTTTTTAATCTTCAGATACAAAGTCAAAAGTACGTAAGTAAAAGTACGTGAGAAATCAATTTCGGTAATAATGGAAGAATGTGATTTGCTATTTTCTGAACACTAGGTGACCATATATCTGGTACTTTCAGTGCAATTGTATCGCTTCAGAATATGTTCCATAAAATAATTGTATTCTGTAAATTCTGCAAATGCAGCTTATGCTTCTGTGCAAGGGATATTTTGTAAAAATCTAGAAACTTAATCTAAAATATTTTTAAAGTAATTTAATGTCTAAAGTATTATTGCTTATTCGGTAATTTAATATAGCTAAAAGCAACAATATATTAGATAAATTTCTGGAATTTTACAAAACCCCAGAAGATTTCTAGAATTTTACATTATTTTTTACTGTCAGTGTGAAAAACGTTTTAATTAAAATCCTACCTGAAGTAAATTAAAAGTTTTATTTTTGGCAGAATATATATTATAATGATAGTAAGAGAATTATCTATTCTGTAACTGAGGATAATTTAAAGAATAGCATTGAAATTTATTATTCAAGTTGCATGTTCTACGTATAGAATGGGAAACATTTAATAATTTAATTATTATGTGTAATTATTACACTTCATATAATAATTGCATAATTATTATATGTAATGTAATAATTGCATTGTATATAACAATTAAATTAATTAATGGAGTATTAATAATTTAAGATATTCTAATTAATAATTGATATAATAGAAAACTTTAATTAATATAATGGAAAACATTATTTGGGAATAGGGAACTTTAAGTATTGTTTGTCAAAAAAAAAAAAAAAAAAAAAAAAAAAGGCAGAGTTCAAAGGAGATGCAAGTTCGGAAACAAAAATTACAGTGCAAGTTTTTGTAATTTAATAGTGCGAGTTCAATCCTGTAATTGTTTGGTGTAATTACCAGAGATGATAAAGTTCTTCGGTTAAAAATATTTAATTCACTTTTTATTGGAGATAAGCAAGCATTACCTGTATCTTCTAATGACTATAACTAGTGATTTTGTACAATATTTATAAGTTTTTATGAAATTTTAGTGATCTAGTGCGTTTACCAACAAATATAGTACTTCCATGCTTCTAATATAGTAAGAACAATAACATACGATACATGAATTAACATTGTAACTTTTTTTGCAATATTTAACGAACTAACGTTCTTTGTAAAATGTAGTTTTTATTCTGAGTTCACGGAGATAGATAATTTAAAATACAATTCTATCCGTTACAGCATTATACCCAGCTCACTACTAAATTTTCTTTCTTGAATCGTTGAGTTTTTCACTCATCTACAAAATGGTAATCTTCCGAAATAATTTTTTCAAAACATTTTGACGTTGCTCAGCAACGGTTACACGATACAAAAATAGGTGTTGCCACTCCAATGGCAAGGACAATAAATGTATGTATTAATTAAATAAGAAGTTATTACAATATCTTAGTTCGAATGTAGTTGAGGTTTATAATGAACATTCCAGATCAATTTTAAATGCAGAACGAAATCCCGTACATATGCTAATAAAGAAAGCATATTTTTTCCTTAGTATTTCACCTACCAACAAAAATTAATCTAAATTTATGAAATATTAATGCGTTAAAGTACGACACATGCAAAACTCGAATCCAGCAGATATGATTATTATTTTTAGACCATTTTCAGACGATTTCATTTGTAGAAAACGTACATTTAACAGCGGAAATAGAAAACTTTCTAAAATGAGTTTACACAAGAGTCATGTTCTATGCACAGACATGTTAAAGCGGAATATTTATCCGTATGTTGAACTTTATAGTTAATTATCACTGCTCCTGTATTAAAAGGTTCAGTGAAAAAATTGTTCTATTAAAAGGTTTTTTTATGTTTCTGTATTAAAAATTTTAGCGAACATGAAAATGTACATACAAATCAGATTGTTTTTGCAGTCCATTTAAAATGAATTCAATAAAGACATTTTCTGTACATTACATCTTACGAATATATGTATGTATCTAGCATAATTCAAAAACGATTATCCATAGAACATTGAAATTGCGTCTATGGGACTTCAATAATTTCTAGTGCACTTTTCTTTTTTATTCGAATCGGCAGTATATATATACAGTGTCTCACAAAAGTGATGGGACACTTGTGCTTTACAAAAGGAAACTGTAGTAAAATAAATTTAAAAAACATGTAAAAATGTTTTGTGGATGTGTTTCATACTTAAATTTAGTAACAAATATTACATAAACATACATTATATCAAAAATCTTAAAATATTAATTTAATTAAAAATACAATTGTATAGAACGGAGCAAAAAATGGCTCACATAAGTGATGGGACACTTACTTTTCCATCAAATATTTATCTAAAAATTTTACTTTTTTAAAGGTTTTAATATTTTGTTCGATTTCCTTTTACTTTTAAAACATGATTTAATCTTCTTGGGATGGATTGGACTAATTTTTTTTGTGATTTCTGGAATGATTTTACCCCATTCTTCTTGAAGCACCGATTTTAATTGTTGTTTTGAAGAAATGGTGTGTTTGCGAATTCTCGATTCCAATTCTTGCCAAATATTCTCTATGGGATTTAAGTCTGGAGATTGTGTGGTGTTTTTATTATTTCAGGATAATTATACAGCAGCCAGAGTCTAACGTTCAAAGCAGTGTGCTTAGGGTCATTGTCCTGGTAGAATTTAAAATCGTTACGAAGGATTAATTTTCGTGCTGAAGATTTCAAATTTTGATTTAAAATGTCAATATACTTGTATTGATCCATTATACTGTCTATAGAAACAAGATTACCAACTCCAGCGGACGACATACACCCCCATACCATAACTCCTCCTCCACCATGTTTTACTGTTGGCACCAAGTTCTGTTTGCGAAATTCTTTCCTGGGTTTTCTCCATACACCAAGATTCTACCGTCAGAATCAAATATATTTAAATTTACTCTCATCAGCAAATATAACTTCATTCCAGTAATCAGAATTCTTATTTATTTTGGATTTTGAGAAAGCCAGTCTGAATTTTCTATTCTTTTCACTTACGAAGAATTTTTTCCTGGCTGCTCTACCGCGATATCCAGCAGATCGAATTACTCTTCTAATAGTCCCAGGATTAATAATTACTTCATATAATGCTTGTGAATCAGCAGCAACTTTAGGAGCACTCACTCTTGGATTTTTTTTTAATATTTCGAACGATAATTCGCTTTATTCCATTTAATAGCTTTGATGGTCGGCCAGGTCTTCTTTTATCCTGAAACATATGATTCTTTTTATATCGTTTAATGATATTGAAAACTGTTGAATGACTCAAGTTAACTGTTTCAGCAGTTTCGCTAATAGATTTTCCACGTTCAATATGCAAATTAATAGCTAATTTTCGAATTTCAGGCAAAGTTTCTTATCGTTTAGCATTCATGGCTGCACAGAGCTAAAAAACACGAAACTTCCAAAATAAGGTGGAGAGAAATACTGCAGACAATTTTATAAATTATTGCCAATTGCTTATTGAGTAAAAATAAAAACCCAAAAAATATTTTTATTGTAGTACTTAGTAGTATCTAATGGTGTCCCATCACTTATGTGAGCCATTTTTTGCTCCGTTCTAAACAATTGTATTTTTATTAAATTAATATTTTAATATTTTGAGAAAATGTATGTTATGTAATAATTGTTACTAAAATTAAGTATGAAAACACCCACAAAACATTTTTACATGTTTTTTTTTAATTTATTTTATTACAGTTTCTTTTTGTAAAGCACAAGTGTCCCATCACTTTTGTGAGACACTGTATGTAAGATAAGAAATATGTAAATCAAAATTATAATTTAAACTAAAGGTAAAACTTTAATTCTCTCTCTGTGTTCTAAAAATCGTAATAACTTCTCGGGTTGCATCATTTCTAGATGACGTAATAATTGGGAACCAAAACTTTTCTCTTCTCGTGCTTCCATATTGCATAAATACGCACTTCAGCTTCTCTCTCTGCTGTGCTTGGACGTAATTTCGCTATGCTGCTTCATATTGCAATAATATCATTGATATTAATAATTTAAACCATGGACTCTACTGATGAACTATTATATTAATTTTGACTATGCTTAGTTGCAATGTAGACCTTTTTCTGAGGTTTCAGTCATTAATATTAATAGGGAGTTGCCTTTTCTTGATTCCAATTTAACTTAATTTTTAATGTTGGATGCTTTATGTTTATATATATAGATACTCACACTCTTACAGAGTTTAAAAGCCTTTATCCTGCCCTTATTTTTGCAATAAGCTGTTACGCTCGGCCGTATTATTACGTGCCTTTTGATATTCGCCGGCTAGTTTAGTTTAGGACGCCAACTATGTTAGATACTTGTGTTTAGCTTCGGCCAAGTCATCTTTAGTTAGTTAGAGTTTAGTTTCTTATTTCTTATTATGAGTTAAAGCCCGAGTGGAAGTTTTGTTGTAAGCCCTAGAAAGGGGATGATTGCTATCCTTATTTGAGTGCTATAAAAGGTATTTCAACCCTTCTCGAATCTGTAGCTGTATGAACTCAGCGACAAGTTGCTCAATTATTCACTACGTTCCTCGAAGTTCATCTTAAAAAAAATCTGATGTGTACACCACGTGACTTCCTTGTACGGAATATTAAATTATACGCATTTTTTCTTGCATTTCGTTTAAACTTATTGGATTGAATTAAATCTACTTCGCCCACAGCGTGTAAACCACAATAGAATAAATGCATTCTTTAAAATTCACTCTATTTGTTTACCATAGCGACACGCTGGCGCTAGGTTCACATAACAGTATTATATTTCGTTCATATTATAACTCAGAAAGCAAAAAATTTCTATCATTTAAAGAATTATCTAATCGTTGCCACATGTTCTGTTCAAATGCTATAATAAAGCTAGAACGATTTATAAAAGAAATTAAACACACAAAACAAAAAAGAAACAGTTTTTCACAGATGATTGAGTATTTCCCATTAAATTAATTCAGTTCTCACTTCGCGACAAGGCAAAAATACATAAAAACTCAAAACATCTGTATTAAAAATTACGAAGTAAATCTTAAACACTTATTTCCTCGAAAAAACTCCAGAAAGGATTAAGCATGATTTAATTCGCAATAATAAATGAAGGCGTTATCTTTGTTGTTGCGAAGCTACGTTTCTCTAGATTGGCAACAAATCCACTAGTCTCCTGTTTCAAATGTAAACATCAATGGCCGCCATTAAAAACAGGCTAGCGGCAATTAAACAACTTTAAAATTGCTGATAATTCAAAAAATATTGCACACAGATTTACCAAAGGCATAAAATCCTTAACCGGAAGGTAAAAACAACATAATTGAATCATTTTTAAAGCAAAAAACGTACAATTTACAAACATATAAGAGTAAAGAAACTGAGATCACTGAGCAGGGTAATAGAGTGGATATATATATAAATATATTTATATAGTTTGGTGCGGCCGATAGCAAAAAATTTCTACGTTCTGAGGCTACTCGTTTTGGAGCTATGCGAGATACGTACGTACGCACGTACGTACATACGTTCGTACAGACGCTACGAAAAATTCTCTTCAGAATTAATTTTAAAGCAGTTTTATAATTTTTTTTGAAGGAAAAGAGTATTTTATTCTGTCCCTACGTACAGATATCACGCAAAAACGTCGTTAAATTGCATTCGAAAGATGTCAAAATGGATATTTTCGTTGAAATATGCTGCCTGAAACTTTTCGCGATTACAATACTTACTTTTTACTTCTACAAGGAAGTAAAAAGAGTGAAGAACTCTACAGTGCTATTGCATAACTCAGGATTAAATATATGTAACGTAAGTCCTATAATGATCGTCTAGCAAACACGAAAGTGGTGCATGAGGCAAAAAATATTGAGAAATATTGTTACAGAGATTAAGGTAAAGTCCTATAATCGACAGCAGTGGGGAATTAGGGCGCAGTTTATAGAAGTATAATTTTACGTATTAATTTTAAAAGCCAGGTAACAAGAGTAAGAGATGCATATTAGCTTATCTTAAAACAAGCGAATTCAAATCTTTTCTTAAATTTCAGATTTCTCTTAGAGAGGTAGCGATAGAGTGCTTTGAAATGATTAAATAAACCGAACTAAAACCGACCCAGTTTTTGGTCTGAATTAACGTGCATCTGTTGCGAACTGTTTCATTTTGCCCTCTGCATTATTGTACAGTTTCTTGGGGTAGCCTTTACCAGTTTTTTTTTTATTATTATTTAACAAAGTATTATTTTTCTTTTTCGAAGGATTTAATTACATGCTCTACTATAAAAATTATAATATGAAATTATATCATGAAAATCTACTAATAGATGTTTATAAAAGGGGTACTTAAATAATGGCTTTTAATAATTAGGAGCATAAGTATAAAATTCTATTCAGGGATAAATAACATTAACTTTTACTAATTTCCAGATTACAGATTTTGAATGCTTAAGTTTCTTTCTTGGTTTTTCATTCAAAACTTACTAGTTAGTGCAGAAATATGATATGAAAGATAGAGGTATAAATGTTACTCACTTCTGCTTGTGCTTACAAATTCTTGAAAAATTTTATAGTCAGAAAATGCATATTTGGGATCATGGTATGATTTACAAATGCTTTTTTTTTTTACTACGATACAATGTTTTAGAACAGCAAAGTTTTGTGCCACTTTATTTTCTTCCACGATGTTTTATAAGTGTAATGTTTTCTCTCTTTTCTCCCTGATGTTGAGTATGACGACTCCTTCCCCTAGAGTTGTTTATTTCGCGACGTTCTAGTCCCGATGTTTTCGGTGAAAATTCAGTCAGTATGCATTGTTGGTAAATGACAACAAGCGATAAATTAACAGCAGTAAAAGAAAAATATATGTTTTTTAAATATTTCACCCTTTTTGTGGTAAGTATGTTTAATAGTACATGTATTTTTTTTTTGTACAAATAAAAATTTATGCAGCGTAAGGTTATTTTTTATTCTAAATACAAGAAAAGGAATTCTTTCTCTGATTACACGCGAATAACCAATTTTAGTAAAACATGCAATTAAAATTACAGGAATTTTGACTCTTACCTCGCTAACAGTTACATTTTTCTTTACAGGACAACTATCATTATGCAAGAAAAAGCTATTGAAAGGTGACATTTTTCATAAGCGCAACGGACAAAAATGAAGATTTTTATTTTTAGTGTAGGATGAGGTATTAAAATTTTGAAAAATCTTTTAGATGTTTTTTTTTCCTCGCAGTTTTGCTCGAGCATTCACACAAAAAATCTCAAATTATCATTATAAGGACCTCTAGCTTATGCATTAGTTACACTGAATATTCCGTTTAACGCGTTCTTCAGCTCAAACAACTGTTTGATAAAAGCTCGAAGTATCCTTTAGAAAAACATTCCAAAAGACATGGGGGCTTCATTTTCAACTTCCGAAGCTGCTGCTCCTCAAGACACTGTGGTGATACCAGAAAACGCTGCTGAGATACATCCTACAGAAAATTTAGTAGAAAGTCCAGAACCGAAAGAGATATATGGTAAGACTCTTTCGGAAACTTCGCAAGTGTCTGACAGCAATAACGGTTTCAAGTATTCAGCTGAAAATTTATCTCATGAAGTATCCAACATTCCAACGGAAAAAAATCCTTTGTGTGACGACTGCTCAAAAGTTATGCTATCTTACATTACAACAATGCAAGGATTTTTAGATAATTTAGCTCGTGAAATAAATACTAGTAAAGATCCTAAGTATTGTCCGAAATGTGTGGAGCAAGAGATGGAGATATTTGAGGACAGTTGCTCTAATGCTGATGTTCGCTCCCCATGTAGCAATTCATCACCAGACTCTCCAAGCTGCAAATCAGGACCTATTCCTGAATGTCAATCTGAAATAAACAAATGTGAACAACAATTAGAAGTTCCTGTGAAAGAGCTATCTGATAAAAAATTATCTAAAACGAAGGAATGCCGCCGCTTATCTCTGAAGAAAGATGATTGCCGTCCAGCAACGATTAAAAAATCTTCATCTCTTCAAGAATGTTTGAATAACCCCATCCAGCAGATGGAATTTGTTTACAACTTATCATCTTCCTCCCGTTCATTGGAGATGGTAAAAGTTCAAAGACCGCAACAACAAATGAATTTAAGAAATACATTAGTGGTAAACTACCTACCGGACAACGAAAACGGCACAGTCAAAAGTACGAATGATTCAAAAGAATTTAATAGAAAATCAAGTAGCTCACGGAAGAAGATGAGACGAGCATGTTCCTTGTCCTTAAAACAATTACCTACTCTTGAGAGTTCCCATACTGCCACTGCCGAAGCAGATACGACATCGAATCTTCAAGCAAAAGACATCGTGCAACAAGAACGAACTGAACCTGTTGAGTGTTCCGATCAGGTATTCTTTGAACATACTGAAGTGAAAGTCTTTACTGAAAAAGATTCAGACGATTCTGTGACACAAGAACAAAACAAGTATGTTGAATACAATCAAAGATTATTTGACGATTCCAAAACAGAGGACTTTACAGAAAATGGTGCTTTTGCTAGATCATTAAAGGAAGAAGCAGACGGAATCTTAACTACGCTTTCTAATGTAACTGATGAGGAAAGTGTAGCCTTCGCATCTAGAGATACCAAAGCAGAAGCTTACGTAACTATGTGCCGTAATAATGCCGAAGTCCTTGGATGTCTTGTAGTTGGAACATCACTTCTTCTGAGTCGGACATCTAGACGATTATGCGTTCTGGTGACAGATGGAGTCACTCCCACTTTCAGGCAAGTCATTCCTTTTATGTAGACCTTTTATGTAGATTATAAACATTATAGATGTATTAATTCTTATACATTTAAGAACCTCTTTTGAAGGGATTCCTGTTAAAATTGTAAAGGTATGATTCAAGGTGGTTCATTTACGGTAAATATGTTGCTAACTACTAACCCTGATATATTAACATTAATTAAAATGAAACTAATCCTAATTGATTGATTTAAACATAATATTAGGAAGATATGTTGATAGTGTGAATATAAATTTTGTACTGTTTGCTTAGATCTCATTTAATGAAAGAACAAAAGATTCTTTACCAAGGTATGTAATAAACAACCACATGTGTTCATAAAGTTATTATTTAGACGTATTCTAAACAACAACTTTATGAACTTAATTAATATTAAATGTATTTTAAGTTATGTTCGTTAGATATATTTTTTTAAATAAATGCATAAAGGTACTTTTCTTTTATGGACCTGTCATGTATTTCGACGGGTTTCTTAACCCCTTAACTGCCGCGGTCGTATATATACGCTTTGCTCAGCCGATGCGTTAACTGCCCCGGGCGTATATATATACGCCTTGCTCAGCCGATGCGTTAACTGTCCCGGGCGTATATATACGCCCTTCCAAACTACTATCATTTGCTTTGGCCTACTACCTGTAAAATTATTCGCAATAAGCTTTGGAATGCAACACCACAATGACCTTGACAAAGTATGCGAAGGAGGATACTATTTCAGAGACGTGTGGGGAGAAATTGGAAAGAGGGGTAAGCGGTGAAAGTAATGACTGCGTGGTATTGGCTGATGTTGTTTGAATAAAACGATTTTTTTATTCTGTGTCCTCCGTTTTCGTTTAATTTTTGTAGTAGGTTCCAGGAATAAAGAAAGATATAACGGATGTTTCAAACCCATTTTATCTTTTTTAAATTATTTTTTGATGAACTGCTCGTGCTTCATATTGTTACTGAAACTAACAGTTTAGTAGACGAGTATATGAGCTAACACCTTGCAAACAAAAAATCAAGAACAAAATCGTGGCATTCAACCAGTTCAGAAGAAATATATGTTTTTTTAGGCATACTGATTTCACAAGGTATAACACTGAAACCTGGTATTACACTTTATTGTTATAAAAATGAATTGATTGAAACTCCCTTTTAGGGATCTTTTTTATTATACTTACATTTTTTATTATACTTTTACTCAAAACATTAAATTTTGTGCATTTAATGTTTCTTTTATTCTTTATTTTGTGAAAGTAAACAGTTTTTAGATAGTAAAACTTGCACTTATTTTCCTCCTAATACAACGCATAACTACGCGTGCCTGTGTGAAAAACCGTGGCACTGGGAAATGAATCTTGTACGCTTTCCGCGGCAGTTAAAGGGTTAAGTATAAACACTTTCTAGCCATACAAATAGTTAAAAAAAAAAAAAAAAAAAAGGTATCTGGTAGAAGATTGCCAATAAATCATCCATTGCCACACGCCACAATGCATGGGAAATACATAACGGAAAAATACCTGATCAAATTATTGAAGTTCATAATGCTTCTAAATCACCCAGCTTGTCAGAAAACTCCTCACTGATTAAATTTTCTTTTTTGGAAGCAGGAGAGATGAAAAATGAGCAATGCCCTCGCCCGGACTCGAACGACGGGCCTCTCGAATACGCGCCAAGTGTACTGACCACTACGAAGGCATGCTAAAAAGGCGAGAGAAATGCCTTAGATCTTGCATGCAACCCACGGGCCATTTCAGTTTTAAAACCAATGATTACAGGAGTCTGCGCAAAGCTGAAGAATAAATTAATGCGAGAAGGGAGATGTTTAAATATAATATCGAATCTTTTTCGAAAATATCATTTATTTCTGCTTCTGGTCTGGAACATTTATTAGCATATGTATCGTTTTGATTAAATTGCAAAAATATTTTCTTACAGAGAGCTGCTGTCATCTGTATTCCACGATGTTCAACTACTGCGCTCTTTGGATACTCTTGGAACAACAAAACTTGCTCTCCTAGAACAACCAGATTTGGGTATCTCATTTGACAAGCTGAGCATCTGGAGATTGACACAATATAAAAAATGTGTTTATTTAAATCCTGACACCCTGGTATGTATACATTCGTGCATTTATTATACATATTGAAATCTTTCCTTTTTCTAATGAATTTCATATGTAAATTCTTTATTTTAATTTTTATAATAACTTTCGTTCGTATCATTTCGTTTATCTCCCCAATCATTTTAAAACAATTCTTTTTTCCAAAGTTTCGAATAATTTTTAGCCCAAATGCGCGTTAACCCAGAAGGGTTATTAATTTCGTTTTGGCATTGTGTGTTGGTTGTATTGTAAAAATCTAAACCACTTTCCAAACAGTTGCCACCAAATATTAGAGCCTTGCATTATATTTAAAGAAATTCAATAATAAAGAATCTGCATGAATATATGTAAGTTTCTAGCATTGTGAAAAAACAACATTACTTAGAGACATCAAATTATGAATAACGTAGTCCTCCACTCGAATATGAGCATATGGAAGCCTAATTTGGAATATGTTTTATTATGAACACTGAAGTGCCAGTGAATTAGGGATAGACATGGCTATGCAAATTTTATAGCACTGCGCGGCATCTGTGCTCACTTGAGGAAGTTGTCGTAACTACACATACAGCTAGTACTATGGTTGTTGTTAATGAGTCGTTTCAATTGCCAGTATGGGTAAAATTTCTGATTTAGACAGCTTCCGTCTCGGACAGATAGTAGGGATTTGACGCATGGGCCATTCGATTTCCAAAATCCTTAGTGGGCTAGGATTTTTAAGGTCGACAGTGTCAAGAGCGTACGGAGAATACACAGACGGTGGGAAATTGAACTAGCCATTGGGCAAATTGCAAAGGACAATTAACCTAGGACAAGCGTGGTGTGAGACGGCTCAGCCGTATTGTATACTGTGGGGGGGGGGAATCTATATTTCTGGTTCTACTGGGCTGATTGACGAAATTCAAATTGCGTTTTTCATGTCTTGTAAGCGGGACTTAGGATATCTATTAGATTTATATATAGCATTGTTCTAACATAGGTATTTTGACACAAAAATCGGACTTTTTCTGAAATAACATACCGTTTTTTCCCCCATATTTAAATTCTATGACTCAAATTATGCCAGAGTGCTGAGTTTTGTAAAAATCGCACGAATAATTTTTAAAAAGTTAATTCTAAAATTTTACTCCTCAATGTTAATTGAGTTTGGTATATATTTATTAATATCTCTTTTTTTATTAAACTTATTTGATTCTTCCTTTCACATTTCGAAATTCAGGTTCATTCCCAATAAAATTCACCCACTTTTTATGATTTATTTAAAAAATTTATGTTTTTTAAATAATTTTTATAAATTTTTCAAAAAAATTTTGAATTATAATCTATAAAATTTTTACCATCATATTTCATATTCATCGTATTTCTAAGCATACCTGCAAAAAATAAAAATTTTTTATTCAAAATTTCCGAAGATATACGTGAATTAATACATACTAGCGCGTTTTGAAATTTGTCATATTTGTTGAAAGCGATAAAACATCAGATGTGATTTAAACGTTTTTCTAAAATTATTTGGAAGTAGAAACGATATGACTTTTTTCCCGCTCAACCACAATGTAAAAAGGTAGGAACAAGGCGCCTTTTTTCCGCTCTGGCATAGTGGAAGGAAAAGGAAAATGGGTTGCCATATATTAAGAAATTAGCCAAGTGAATAATTCTTCTCCACACTGAAAAATTTCGCCAAGATAAATTTTTGAATTTCTTCGTAAATTTCGCGCCAGATTTTACAAAATTTTATATCTGCGCATAATTTGAGTCGTAGAATCGAAATATGGAAAAAAATTGGTATTTTATTTCAGAAAAAGTCCAATTTTGTGTCAAAATACCTATGACAGAACAGTGCTATATATATATATATATAATATATACTTAATATATATCCTAAGTCATGCTTTCGAGACATGGAAACCGCAATTTGAATTTCGTCAATCGACCCAGTTGAACGGGAGATATAAAACTGTCCCTTCTTTTTTTTTTTTTTTTTTCTTTTTTTCTTTTCGTAGTGTACATAGTCAACGAAGCCAAATATTAGCTCAAATTCCCACCCAGCTGAATCAGGGCGACAGTCTTACAGTCAATAAATGGATATTGCAACGCTGCCTTCACCATATGAGCTTCGGAAGCCGTAGACCCAAGACAGTACCTTTACTGAATGCATGCCATCGAGCTGCACTTCTTGTCTGGGCAAGAGAATACAGAGAGTAGACTCTAGCGGACTTGAAATGAGTAGCAAGGAGTATGAGTCCCGATTCCGACTAATTAATACCGATGAGTGAGAATATGGCGTCAGACTCATGAAGCCATGAACCCTGTATGGCAGATTGGAACTGTACAAGGCCATGGTGGCTTAATCATGTCCTGGGATGTTTTTTCTTGGCAGTGCTTGGGATCTTTGGTACTTGTACAAACCTTCTTCAATATACTACGGTACGTAGAGTTGCTGGGCGATCATCTCCATCCATTTATGTTGTCCTGTCATTCACAATGAAATGGGGTATTCCAGCAAGATAACTGCACCTCTCACAGGTCCCGGTTGGCTACTGCCTGGTTGAATGAGCGTTTTTCTAACTTCTCTGTCATAAATTGGCTACTTAATTCTTACCTCTCTTAAATTCTACTGAGCATCTTTTGGACGTTTTGGAGAAAGGTTTGAAACCTCATCACACAACACTAACGACTCTTCCTAACTTATAGACAGCTCTATCCGATTTTTGGCAAGCCATTCCCGTAGAATGCTTTCAGAAACTTATTGAATCTATGCTTCGCCATTTACGCCATTTTGTAAAACTTTAACGAATTTCCGATTAACAAACTCAATGATTTCAAAGCGTTCCGTTAACATTAACATGGAGTGTATCTTCGAGCACAGATATTTTATGCGAGAGGTTCCTTTAGATTTCTTACTGGTGTTATGCTGGTAGCGTAGACATTACAATGTCTAACGGTATTGTCCGTTGAATTACTTTGAATGTCTGCATCACTTTTCAAATCCTGTTTTGAATGCCCCGTGAAAAAAAAAGCCCCTTTGGACGTAATATAAAATTTGAAAGCTTTGAGATTTTTTTAGTTATTCTGTTCTATTTTTGTATTCTCTTCTGTCTTGTTTCTTCTCTCATTTTGTTGACATATTGGTGGCCTGTATGAATGCGGGGGAGGAATGTAAATTAGAATGGCATCTGATGTGCAAAAATTGTGACTTATAATTGTACGGTCTAAGCACATATGGATGTATTTATAAATTTTTAACCAATGTATTTTAAATGCAGTTTGTCTTGAGGTACTGTCTAAATATTAATTGTTAGGTGTGAAAGTCAAATTATGAATAAATAATGAATAAATAATAATTATGAATAATTATGATTAAATAATGAAGAATTTTTCATAATTATTATTTATTATTTATTCATAATTTGACTATTATGATTAAATAATGAAGAATCTGCATAAATGTATATATGTTTCTCGTATTGTGATAAACAACGGTACCTAGAGTCAGATTTGTGTAACAACTCTTAATTTTTCAATGCCTATTCATTTTTTTTTTCCTTGCTTGTTTATCATTATTATTTTGGTTGGGAAGTTATTAGACCGCTGTCCGGAAATCGGACGTTAGAAAGAGCCTACTTAAAAAGAAGCTAAAAGACCGACTCTGGGAAATAAATTAGTTTTATAGTAATGTTGCCATAGCTTGTAGAGTCATTAGGTTATTTTTGAAGCAGAAAGCATTAAAAATGAGCAATGTCCTCACCGGGACTGGAACCTAGACCTCTCGAATACGTGCCAAGTGTGTTACCGTTACATCATGAAGGCATGCTGGAAGAAGGGAAAAAATACCCAATAAGATTATTAGAAAAAATCAACAATTATAATCAATTATAAATTTGTTACTTAATTAAAGGTGATTCTAATTGATAAATATTCAGAAAGAATACAAATATTCAAATACAACAAGTCATAGACATATTAAGACATGTTAAGAAATAATTTAGTCAATAAAAATTAAATATAACATTTCAAATTTAATGGAAATCTGAATAAAGCTTTTAATTCGAGATATTACATGTTCAGTTCTCATATATTCTTTTCAGGTGGTACAAAACTGTGATGAACTCTTTAACCACGAAGAACTGTCGGCAGTTCCCGATGTATCCTGGCCTGACTGCTTCAACAGTGGAATGTTTGTATTTATTCCATCGACTCGCACATTTTGGCAATTGATGGAATTCGCAGACAAACAAGGATCCAGAGATAGTAAGTACAAGAGATAATTTCTGTTGCTACTTCAATAAAGAAGGAAAATTTCCTTTCATGCAGTTAAAAACATCAAAGAGCTGTTTCTTTGAGCACTTTTTAGTCCAAAGAGGCTTTATTCTTGAGGGACTATTGTTTCCTTTTTGCAATTTTGCGTCGAAACACTATAAACGGCTGTATCACTTTTCAAATTGTTGCCACCAAATATTATCGCCCTGGATTATATTTAAAGAAATTAAATAATGAAGAATCTGCATAAATATATATATGTTTCTCGTACTGTGATAAAACAACAGTACCTACAGCCATCCAATTTTTAATGATGTAATCCTACTGCGAATATGGGCATCTGAAAGCCCAAATTGGAAATTTGGAATTTGTTTTATGATCGATTTCATATTTTGTAAAACTTTAAAGAATTTTTGATTAACAAACTTAACGATTTCAAAGCGAGCAATGGCAACACTCTATGGGGGGAACAGCGCGTGAGTCTCTGTGTCGGAAATTCTAAAGATATGCTCATTTTAAAACTATTTTGCGATATTGCTGTTGAACTGAATTTTATGGTTTAAGTGCGAAGAACGTGATATTTAATAAGTAACAAACAAAGTGTAAAAATAATGTTAAATTAAGCATATCTTTAGAATTTCCGATATACACAGTCTCGCGAGCTGGAGATAAAAGTATTTTTTTTTTCTATATAACGTTGCCATTTCTCGCTTTTAAAGCATTGAGTTTGTAAATCAAAAATTCGTTAAAGTTTTACAAAATATAAAATCTATAATAAAAACAAATTCCAAATTTGGGATTTCAGATGCCCATATTCGCAGTAGGATTTCGTTATTCAAAATTCGATGGCTCTATGTACCATTGTTTTTATCACAATGCGAGAAATAGACAATCATTTATGCAGATTTTTCATTATTTAATTTCTTCAAATATAATGCAGGACTCTAACATTTTGTGGCAACAGTTTGAAAAGTGAACCGACGTTTATGAGTCCGACGCAAAATGCCAAAACGAAAAGCAATAGTCCTTCGGGACTGAAATCCCTTTGGACTAAAAAAAAAATCTGAAATTTTCAGATTTTAAATTACGTCCAAAGGGGCGTTTTTTTTAACGTTTTGAGTGTTACCTTTATTTATTAAATATCATGTTCTTTGCACTTAAACCATAAAATTCAGTTCAAGAGCAATATCGCAAAATAATGTTAAATTAAGCATATCTTTAGAATTTCCGATATACACAGTCTCGCGAGCTGAAGATAAAAGTATTTTTTTTTTCTATATAACGTTGCCATTTCTCGCTTTTAAAGCATTGAGTTTGTTAAATCAAAAAAATTCGTTAAAGCTTTACAAAATATAAAATCTATAATAAAACAAATTCCAAATTTGGGATTTCAGATGCCCATATTCGCAGTAGGATTTCGTCATTCAAAATTCGATGGCTCTATGTACCATTGTTTTATCACAATGCGAGAAATAGACAATCATTTATGCAGATTTTTCATTATTTAATTTCTTCAAATATAAAGCAGGACTCTAACATTTTGTGGCAACAGTTTGAAAAGTGAACCCACGTTTATGAGTCCGACGCAAAATGCCAAAACGAAAGCAATAGTCCTTCGGGACTGAAATCCCTCTGGACTTAAAAAAATAAAAAAAAAAAAAAAAAAAAAAAAAAAAAAAAAAAAACGCATTTTAAATTTGGACATAATTTAAAATCTGAAAATAAATTTTCAGACTTTCTTCTCCTTTTTTTATTTTTTTGTTTATATTTGTTTTTTCGTTCTTCCAATTAGGTGGCGATCAAGGACTTCTTAATTCCTTCTTTAATTCGTGGTCATCTGATATTAATCGCAAGCTGTCTTTCATTTATAATCTCACAGCTAGTGTCAGCTACACATATACACCAGCATTTAACAGGTAAGTATCTACTATTTTGTGTTTAACACATATTCTCTTTCTTCCCTTCACTTGCTTTATATAAACACACATACAGAGCACTTTCTCTTAGACAACCACTTATGATTTTCAATAACTTTGATCTTCTACTGAAGGGATCGCCTCAGAGAAGTGATTTCTGATACTGCTGTTGTGACTGTGACTAATCTCGCTTGCCTGACATCAGTCCCTTAACATCAGAATACACTTACGATATTCATTTCGGTAAGGAGTAAACGATTCCGCCTGTCATCGGTCACAGCCTTGAGCATCATATAGGTGACAGTACGATTTTACTCAGTTCTATCCCAATTTTGAGGGAAAGAACCCGGGAGCGCCATGTATCTGGAGTGCCCCCATGCCGCAAAGATACTATACATTTACAACATCCATGACTTATCCGGGACACGAGCCCGGAACTTTCAGTACAGTAGTCAAAGTCACTAACCACTATTTCGTGTTATATACTCTTGAACTAATTTACATTCTGCTATGGAAAACGGAAGGAAAAAGCGACAGCACAGATCTGAATCATAAAATAACTGGTTATTTTTTAAATAATATTAACACTATAACCGTACAGCGTACAGATTAAAGAAAGTTTTTCAGTTCTATCTGATGTGTGTGCTAAAATCTGTAAGGGCAACGAACAAACATTAACATATTCATAATAACAAAGAATACCGTAATTTTCTCTGCCGTCCAGTTGGGAAAGTAGTTAATGACCCTGGCTCCCGTACCGAAGAGCCCGGGTTCGAACCCCGGAAAAAGTAGAGATGTAAATTGTCAATCTCTTCATAGGAGCCAACTGTGACCCACTTATTAGAGCTTCCATAATAAATTGACCGCTGCTTCCGGCTCTAGTAATGACCAAAGCCTATTATGGATAGTGCCCACAATTACATGTGGGAAAGGCAGTAATTTTCTATTAATCTTATTACTCATATTAGACAAAAATTTTCTTGAATGAGTTCCAATAATACATCTCATCCAGTCTTGGATGAGTCTTGGATGAAACTCATCCAAGACTGGATGAGTTTCAGTAATAAAACAGTTATTACTAGTAAATGTATCTTCGTATTACGACTAATAACTGCTCATCGAACAGGTGGTTGTTATGATAAACTTCTTGAATTTATACGCAGTAGCATTAAAAATAGAAGAAATGTAAACCTCTTTTACGGCGAAGAAGGATCCTGAGAAGGCTTATAAAATTTTGAAAATTTTAATAAAATTTTAGAAGTCTTTGGAAATCTCTGTCTAGATCTAATCCAATTTTGAGGGGATCGATTTTGAGGAGGGATGTAATTCCTCTTTCCCTAAATACAATTTCTTAAGAGTATACATTAAGGCAATGTTTAAAATAAATCTTTTATTAATTTGCTGTTTAAAGATTTGTAGTTAAGGTACTTAGATTGAATGCAGGTGAAATATCCATAAATTCAAGTCAATTCACAGAAAATAACTCAGACCTATGACATTTGTAACAAGAATTGAAATCTAGCATTATAAAATTTTGTTTTATTTGTTACAAAAATACTATTTTTTGCACGTAATGTAGTTTAAGATTTCGCAATTATCGTGTTTTTATTGCATATGTTGTTGTATATTATCTGAAAATAGTATTTTATTAAAGTTTTAATATTTACAATTTTTTACAATACATCACAATTTTATTAATATACGATTATGCGAATATAATGTTCATATTGCTTGCCATTTAATTTTGTTAGGTTTGGACAGGACGTGAAAATAGTGCAGTTTAATGGAACTTCCAAACCTTGGCACGTGAAATTTTTTGGTCCGACTGGAGAAATTTCAGAAATCTCTACAATTCATCCAACATACGTTCAGTTTGTCAAAATGTGGATCAATATCTTTCGCATTAGCGTCCTTCGTCTGTTTCCTCAGGTTATATTTTTTCTCTGTATTCGTAATTTCTTTTTACCATTATTATTTTTTCATTTGCTCTCAATTAATATATTGTGTGTGAATTATAAAACAGTATCTCTCTAGTTTGGAAATAAAGCGGGAAAAGATTACTCTTCTGTTCAAGAAGTTCTCGAAAAAGTCAAATCGCATACTTGAACACTGCAACAATCGCATACTTGAACACAACTGGCCTTTACTGAAGTCTTTCTCTATTTACTCACCAGAGGGCACCCTCGTTGCTAGAGTGAGTCCACCATAGTAGGAATTTATATTAACAGGAGTGGTTACACTATTAGATAATGTTGCGAATTTTCTATAAAAGAGATGTATGAAGTTAGGCTTGAGATGGGTTTTGTACTTTTTTATGGTGGGAAAAATCTCTGGTAATGTTATTTTGAACTGATTGTTTAGACTCATCTGATAAATTTCTTTTAACGGAAAATTCAGCACCAAAATTTTACATTCACAAGATAAAAATTTCACTTACCGTATATTCCGGCATATAGCGCGTATTTTTAATACCAAATGTAAAACTGAAATTTACAGATGCGTGTCGTGTTTAAAAATGATAGATCTAAAAATAAAGAAGAGATGAGCATACAAAAATTATATTTCTACATGTACCTAAACGCTGTTTGTTTAAAAGAAATGACGTACCTTATGAACTTAAAAAATTTCCTCATCTGATAACATGGAAAGTTCGTCATATTCGTCTTCCATTACATCTTCAGGCACATCATAGAATTCTGTTTCATCTTCATCATCACTGTTATTCTAATCCATAAATAAATAATTATATTTCGTTCCATCTAGATAGTTAGATATACTACATTGTAATGACTTTTGAATTATATCAAGTGCAGTTTCATTCCATGCTTTTATTATCCACTCACATGCTGTTTCTAGGACTGGCATGATACATTTAACCTCCTTGTTCTTCCTTGCCTTCGATGTTCACTTGATATTCAGGCTTCAAAATCCCTGCTTCAAATGACCGTAGAAAGAAAAAGCATCTAACTGCTAATTCCGTGAATTTATTGTGGTTGGAAGTACGTTACACTTACTTCACATAATGTCTCCCTTTTCTCGAGCCTCTAAAATAACATTCTTGTGCACACCTGCATTGAACACAACGCATTTTGTTTCAGATTATTTACTCCCCCAAATATTTTTCCTACACACATATTGTTCCCCTTATCGCTTTGTCAGTTCAGTATACTACTGTTCGAAAGCCAGAGAAAAATCTTCAAATGAATGACTTCAAAAAATAAGAGCATCGCACATGTATATTTCATGTTTCTTCGTAAGAAAATGGGGCGCGTTACACGGAGAATATACCTAAAAACTAAAAAATCCAGTTTGAAATTATAGGTGTGCGTTATATACGCTGGAATAATTTACAACACTTCTCTTATGAATTTGCATTCTTTAATCATCGTTGAAATGTTTGGGATGTAATCCGCAATTGGAGCAGAATGAGCCTCCCCGTACATAGCAGGTTTTTTCGGGGGGGGGGATCTAAGAAACCCCCACCACAACAAAAAAATTTGTTTTGAGCTATAATTCTTAAGACGAACGACTTCAGATTTAATTTTTTATGAATACTTGGGGTCACCATCGACTGAGTTGTGAAACCCCTCAACATTGGTAAATAGTTTAGCTTAGTAAATTGTAGATTAAAAATACAGTACCAGAAAGAAGTAAAATTATTCTGATAATCTGAAAATGAATTTAACAAAAATATACATTAAGCTATATCTGTTGCTGTGGTTCTTGTTACTTATGCTTACTTGTCTGACGTAGTCAGCCCAAGTCGACGAAATTCCTTGTCGCTAGGAGCTCAAAATTACGCCTGTCGTTGGCAGCAGCCTTGAGCACCTTACAGGTGACAGTGCGATTTAGATTAGTTCCGCCCCCTGTTTTGATAGAGAGCTCCCGAGGAGGGGTCTGAGAGTCTCCCACCCATCTTCTCTTCCACCAAACCATACGAGAGGCGTTTCGGCTCGCCATATATTAGGGTACCGCCATGCCGCACTGACACTATACGTTTACAAACATCCATTCTTTCTCCAGGATTCGAACCCGGGAATTTCGGTACGTCATTCAGCGAGGCTAACCACTATACCGGTTGGGCGCCTTAAACTAGATTTATTAATAGTTAATTTAATGCATTAACCACTGTGCGTGAAGCTAACTGAACCGAAATCCCAGCATAAGCTTTTGTCCGTTATCGTTAAAAAGCATATTAGAAAAACGTGTATTTTGAGTAAATAATTACCATTCTCTTCTCTTTAACAGCGAGATATGCATCGTATAACTATAATTTCATTTTACTTTTATTTATTTATTTATTAAAACTTCTTACTCTGGATGTTTCTTTGTGAATACTGCTCATATGTATTGCTTGTAACTTAGAAATGTAATGTATGTTTTTTGCTCTTGTTTCAGAATATACAGTCGTGCTTACTATCGAAAAATGCCATGTGTGCTTCTGATGTACTATGCTTCTTTCCTCCAACTACAGAACCACAAGGTAGTTTTTATCTTACACCTCCTTCTGCCAGAATGCACTCAGTTCAGAATAAAAATCTGCAGAAATCCTCAAGTTCATCCCCATCAGAAAAACTGCGGAGAAAGTCTGAAGAAATTCCACCACCTACCAAGGATACACTTGAAGCAGCAACTAAAGAGCATCTGAAGATGCGTCGACAATCTTTACAAAACATACATACAGACCACAACAATCAAATTGATTTGAAGAGTCAAGATAGCAATATTAAAAAGCTGTTTAAAAATGAAAATTCGAATAAAAAGAGCAACCTTCCAGATCTAGAAGATAATTCCGTTTCACCCAAGAAGGCAGAAGAACATTCTAAATCTATTAATTTTCCTGATGCCGATACTCAAATTGCAAAACTGAAAGAAAATACACTACCAGGTGCAGAAATTGGTAACTATCAAGGTATGCAGGCATGGGAACAAGGAAAAATGGATTATGAAGGTTCTGATAGCTCAGAAAACATCATAAAACGCTTGCAGTTTTTAATGTCCAAGTGACAGAAATGATAATCTTTTAAGAATATTACATATCATTTCAGTGAATTATTCTTCACTTTATGTTTTCTCAAGTAATATGTGATCATTTTGTTTCTGTGATCATTTATTTTAGTTTCAGTTACGTAGAACTTTACAATAATTTTAGCTTAATTATTAAAAAATGGTTAAAATTGATAAACTTTGATAAACTAGTAACCTTTTAATTCCATCGAAATTCAGCATGACTTAATGACGCAACTGGCGTCACAGCATCTGCATAACTTAAGAAAAAATTATGATGATAGAAATCAATAAAATTGTTTATGTTTGCATATAAAATATGTACTTTTTAATTCAAGTAGCATTTATTTTCCTTCGTTTTTGTTAGAAAATGATTGGAAGATATTTGGTTAATTTTGTAAGCTTTCATTTAGTAATTTTGTAATTCATTTTGTAAGCTTTCATTTAGTTCACTTACTAAATTTTTTTCGCAGCGTCTCGTTAACATATCGTTGGCGTCATGATTTCCTATTACATCCACTATGCGTATCTTTTTACTTCCTTGTACGAAGTAAAAAGGAAGTATTGTAATCGCGAAAAATTTCAGGCAGCATATTTCAACGAAAATATCCATTTTGACCGCTATCGAATGAAATTTAACGATGTTTTTGCGTGATATATGTATGTAAGGACAGAATAAAAGACTCTTTTCCTCCAAAAAAATTATAAAACTGCTTTAAAATTAATTCTGAAGAGAATTTTTCGTGGCGTCTGTACGAACGTATGTACGTATGTATGTACGTATCTCGCATAACTCAAAAACGAGTAGCCTCAGAACGTTGAAATTTTGTATATAGGACTGCTATAACATGTAGATGTGCACCTCGTATTTTGGTTGCAATCGGCCGCACCAAACGTATATAAATACTATATTTATATATATATCCACACTGTTACTCGGCACAGTGATCTCAGTTTCTTTACTCTTATATGTTTGTAAATTGTACATTTTTTGCTTTAAAAATGATTGAATTATGTTGCTCTTATCTTCCGGTTAAGGTTTTTATGCCTTTCGTAATTCTGGAAGCAATATTTGTACAATTATCAACAATTTTAAAGTTGTTTAAGTGCTGCTAAGCCTTTTTTTTTTATAGCGGCCATTGATTGTTTACATTTGAAACAGCAGACTAGTTATATTTGAAACAGCAGACTAGTGGATTTGCTGCCAATCTAGAGAAACTTAGCTTCGCAACAACAAAGATAACGCCTTCATTTATTATTGCCAATAAAATAATGCTTAATCCCTTCTGGAATTTTTTCGAGGAAATAAGTGTTTAAAATTTACTTCGTAATTTTTAATATAGATATTTTGAGTTTTTATGTATTTTTGCCTTCTCACGAAGGGAGAACTGAATTAATTGAATAAGAAATATTCAATTGTCTGTGAAAACTGTTTCTTTTTTGTTTTGTTTGCTTAATTTCTTTTATACATCATTCTAGCTTTGTTATAGTATTTAAATAGAACATGTGGCAACGATTAGATAATTCTATTCTTTAAATGATATAAATTTTGTGCACTATGAGTTATAATAGGAACGAAAGTCAAGTGAATCTAGGGCCAGAGTGTCGCTATGGTAAACACATACTAGAGTGAATTTTAAAGAATGCATTTATTCTATTGTGGTTTATGCGCTGTAAGCGAAGTAGATTTAATTCAATCCAATAAGTTTAAAGGAAATGCAAGAAAAAATGCGTATAATTTAATATTCCGTACAAGGAAGTTTTGTGGTGTACACATCAGATTTTTTTTAATTACAAATACTTTGAATATCTTTTAATATCATGACGCCATCTGGCAGTAGACTTGGAAATAGGTAACAGTATGTATGAATGTATCTCGCTTAACTTAAAAGCGAATAGCCTCAGAACGTTGAAATTTTCTATGCGGGACTCCTGTAACATGTAAATGTGCACTTCCCTTTTTGGTTGCAATCGGAACTGTTTATCTCTCCTGCTTGAACCATTGCCGTAATTTTGGCCGCTTAAATTACTAATACCTAAACCAGTTTCCACTAAATTCCTCAATAAGAATGTTGTTCGTCCTTCACCGATCGTATCAGTTGTAACAGCAAAATCCTAAAACCTTTCCTCAATACTCATGCCTGTATTTTCTAAATTAAGATACCTCATACAAATTAATATGTGCTCTTGATGGCTGACATTAGGTGTACAATCAAGTAAAACAGAAAAATACTTTGCCTGTTTGACCTTACTTAAAATAATTTGCTTTATATTATCCCCTAATAAGGTAATTGTTTCATTTTGAATTTTATCTTCAAAGTAATGAAGCGTATCTTTTTTTAGTTTGAATTTTATTAATATATACAGACATGATAGGGTCAAATTTTGTGATCATTTCTATACACTTTAAAAAATCATTATTTCTTTTGAATAACTTGTTACTAGAACTAAGGAGGGCTAATCTTTGTTTGACTAAAAACTGAATGGCTTAGATAATTCTTTCAATAACATCGCGCCAATTCTTAGTCTCTTTTTTTTTAACAAATTTTGAAATTCCGAATCAACAGGTTTATTCTTTCTAAATAGTTCTAAGAAATCGGACCAAAGATGTAGATTCCGGAAATGCATTTTATTTTTTTCATGAAGTTTTAAGCGATTCCATTCGTTAAATTCAGAACTACTTAGTTTTGCGTTGCTGAAACTGTTAAAAATTTTGCAACAAAAAACAATAAAGAGAATTTTTTTTGGCAGAATTTAGCTAGCTTTTAACTCTTTCGTTGTGTGGCAAGATTCGGCAAAATACATCTGAAAAAATTTACGTCCATTTTTGTCTTTTGGAAAACCGAAACTCAAAACCAAGTTATCCAAGACCATTTTCTATTAAGGCTTGAACTTGGGATGGCAATAATGGACTTGAGCATAATCCGGAATCATCATGTAGAGGAAAATGCGTATATACTGCAGAAAGTGTAGATTTCACTAGCATTTCTTCTGTTTTTTCAAACGGCTGCATTGAAGTTAAAGGTAATTCTCGGGTGAAAACACTTTCTAACTCTTTCTGATTATTAGGTTCTTTTGGCAATTTTAGTGGCAGCTGAGACGTTGATGGACAACTAATGCTAGTAGCGTCAGCCTCTGTGTTTTGGAAAAACTAAGTAATTTTAATGCTCTGCTTTTTTAAGTGTTTCTCTCACTTTCTTTTTCTTCATTGCATTCTGATTCTGAGATATGTTTTTCTGTTTTTCCTCCAATATCTGGGGAAAAGTGAAAACAGAAAAAGCGGAAGTAAAAAAAAAAGTACAAAATGTTTATTATAAAAAATATTGCATAAAACACTTCTTCTTAAGAACACTTGGAACGTCTTTCAAATATTTTTTACCTTACTTCTAAAAAACTGAGTAAATCTTAAACCATTGCTTGGAAAATATATGAACTATTAGATCAATGCCAAATAATTCAAGGAATTTGTACTACTCTTTTGTTTATTAAAGTAAATAAATCGAACTTAAAGTATGTAACTTAATCAAATAACGAAACATTTTCCTTCGGTTTTCTATATTGCTAAAAATCGGAAAATGGCAAATTTTTTATTTCAGAATACCTTATATATTTTTATTTCTTCAAATCTCAAATAGGTATATTTTAAATGCAGTGGTACCCTGTAAATACGTCAATCCTTTCTTCTCAAAGCATAACAATTTTTAGTTTAATAAACAAATAGTTCATGTAAAAAAAAAAAAAAAAAAAAAAATCTGAAATTTTTCAGATTTTAAATTACGTCCAAAGGGGCGTTTTTTTAACGTTTTTTAACGTTTTGAGTGTTACCTTTATTTATTAAATATCATGTTCTTTGCACTTAAACCATAAAATTCAGTTCAAGAGCAATATCGCAAAATAATGTTAAATTAAGCATATCTTTAGAATTTCCGATATACACAGTCTCGCGAGCTGGAGATAAAAGTATTTTTTTTCTATATAACGTTGCCATTTCTCGCTTTTAAAGCATTGAGTTTGTAAATCAAAAATTCGTTAAAGTTTTACAAAATATAAAATCTATAATAAAACAAATTCCAAATTTGGGATTTCAGATGCCCATATTCGCAGTAGGATTTCGTCATTCAAAATTCGATGGCTCTATGTACCATTGTTTTACCACAATGCGAGAAATAGACAATCATTTATGCAGATTTTTCATTATTTAATTTCTTCAAATATAATGCAGGACTCTAACATTTTGTGGTAACAGTTTGAAAAGTGAACCGACGTTTATGAGTCCGACGCAAAATGCCAAAACGAAAGCAATAGTCCTTCGGGACTGAAATCCCTTTGGACTAAAAAAAAAAAAAAAAAAACACTTTTCGAGTATGCTCAAATCGTCGCTTTTCAGAATCAAAAAGCTAACATAAGTTAAAATAATATGTAACTGCACTTACCATTTTTATATAGAAATAGCAATAACAAGAAGCAATCACTAAAAAAAAAAATTCACAAAAAAGATAAATGTTGCACAAACTACTACGATTGAAACAATAGACACAAGAACTAAAGCAATTTGTCTATCACGTCTTCGGCGCCGGTGTCTACCCGTACATACGCATCGGCATAACGTATTTTCGTTCACGTATATTTACAAGATCGGCTCAACTTATGCCTAAAACTGAAAACAGCATTAACCGATAAAAATCAAAGCGATATAAATAGTACAGATCTTATGCATGAACTGCAGTTTTTGAAAACTTTTGGAGGAAATGTAGCATCGCGGTTTGAAACTCTAAGCTACATTGTTGTCAACAACATAGCGCTGTGTAAAAAAAAAAAGAATTTTGGATACATCCCTAGATATCAGCCCTGGAGCATTTTTGTGCCCTGTTGTAATCACAGTTTGAACCTTGTCGTAAACTACGCTGCGAATAACAATTTAATCAGTGCAAACTTATTACATATCTAAATTAATTTGTTTTTAATTTTAAGGTAGTAAATAGTGTTCGGCAATAAATTTGGCATCCAATGCGTTTAGTATATTATTTCGCTTCGCTTGCAATGTTACGTTTTTATAACATGTTTTGTTGACTAATGCTCACTTGTCTGATCTATACCAAGCCCACGACATTCCACCTGGCAAGGAGCACAAGATACGCCTGTCGTTGGCAACAGCCTCGAGCACCTTACAGGTGACAGTGCGATTTAGCTAAGTTTCGACCCCAATTTTTAATGGAGAGCATCCTGGCGGACGGGTCCGAGCGTCTCCCCCCTCTCTTTCCCTACCATCAACCTTTCGAGAGGACTTTTGCGTCGCATATTTGGAATGCCACACGGAC